GTTCGGACTAGGGTGCCTATTCCGAACTACCGGTACACCTCGTTTCACGAGGAGTAACGGTAGTTCGGAATAGGAACCTAGTCCGAACTACCTAGTTCGAGCCCCGTGTAGCCGCGCTGCACGGGGTTCGAAGCAGAGGGGATTTAAAAAAGGCGGCTCCCCGCTTATGCTAATGAAGCCCGGGAAATTCAAATCCCGGGCTTCATTAGCAAGTGCGGTATGCATACATTACCCCGCTAGTTCGAACTAGCGGGGTAGTGTAGACATACCCAGAGAGTGCCACTTTGTGTGTTTCTGAACCATTCGCCTAGAGTTGAAGACTAAATTTAGGCAGACCCCCTGTAGGCAGCTCATGGGCCCCAGGGTATGTCTACACTACCCCGCTAGTTCGAACTAGCGGGGTAGTGTAGACATACCCAGAGAGTGCCACTTTGTGTGTTTCTGAACCATTCGCCTAGAGTTGAAGACTAAATTTAGGCAGACCCCCTGTAGGCAGCTCATGGGCAATCCCTGCAACTGGCTCTAATACATTTACAATGAAGAAACAGGGGAACTAGACCTGTGACTTTGTGGCTCAGATCAAATGTCCTGTCAGTACATCCTCTCTCTGAGGCAATGTCCTGCATTGCAGTAAGCGGGACCTCATCTAAACTTCTTTAGAATGCACCAAAGCTGTGGGGCTACAAAGAATTAGCCCTGGGAGGGAATGGTTCTGCAGAAAGCATGTTCTACTGCTGCAGTGTTAACACATCGGGGCAGTCTCTAGCCCCAGTTTGGACACTCTTGTGTCTCTGAAAGTGCTAAAATGGCAGGTGGCCCAGAAAGCACCAAGGCTCAAAACTCCACCAGTCGCCAGGGACAGAGACTAACAGGAGCTTTCTTTGGGGAATTTTTTTGTTCCTGTTATTCTCTCCTTGGTCTTTAGTTTTATGTTTTTAGTACTAAGCATACTGTTCCCACTTGAAACCAACAGGAGACAGAGCCTATCCCCCTCAGTGGGAATGCAAGGCTCTGCTGCTGAGATACCATCATTCCAAGAGCTGGGGTAAGAGACCTGCTGTTTCTGGTTGCTCATGCTGGCAGGTGGGCTTGCTGAGCCTACTCTGGGCTCTCAGGGGAGCAGAGTATGTCTCTGCAGCAGGAGGAGGGATGGGTCCTGCAGGGAAAAAGCCCTAAGAGAAGCCAAGTTCTGGAGAAAGCCCAGGATTAGGTTGTTTGTCTGCACTAGGAAAGACGACATGTTTTCAAAGCATGATCACTAACACGTTAAAATTCTCATGCAGCTGGAGCAGGCTGCATTAGTGGGTGGACATTAACCCGATAGGTGGAGCCTTACTCTCCCAATGACCAGCTAAGCTGCATTAGAACTACAAACTTGCCTCTTCTTCACTAGGACGTTTGCCTGTGTCCCCGGCCTTACAAACGCATCCTTTCCCCATTGTGCAGATATGGCCACAGAGGCCAAGCATGAGCCGTAACTCTTAGTGAGGGCTGGAACAAGGTGGGAAATGCACCTCCTAGCTAACGCCCTCCCCCCCGATCAGACACTGAACTCACCTCCTGTCTGTCTCGCTCTGGGGGGAGATTCTAGAGGCCAGCACATGCTCCTGTGGTGGGATGTATGCTTCACTGGGCGTCCTTCGCAGGTCCAGCACGGGGCACGGGGCCCCAGGGAAGGAGTACATTGGAGTCTGGAGGTGGGAATTCAGCTGCTGAGGATGATGGCGCGTATAGTCTTGTGTAATAACCTCCTAGAATAAGAAACCCTTGGAGTCAGCACTTCCATCTGCAAACCTTCACCAGGCAGCAGCTTGCATGGAAGGGCAATGTGGGGGATGGGCAGAAGAGCACCTCCACAGCTGACTCAGAATTATTTCTCCCCATCTATGGATGCTGGATGGTCAGGACATGGTGAAGCACTTTGCAGCACTCTGCTGCCTCTGGAAGAAAAAGGCCAGAGGAGCTGCTGCAAAGAAAAGCAAACTGTCCCCTCCCCCTGCCCCCTCACAGGGGCTCCTGACTCCACTCCAGGCACGCTGTTTGCTGACCCCATCAGAGATGCCCCAGAATAATTCCTGGCTGGGCGGACGGAAAGAGAGGCTAATTACACTGATGTGCTGAGCCAGTGTGACCACCCGCTGCTGGTGGCCTTTGGCATTGTGGGCTGACGGCAGCAGCTGGCACGGGGATTGCTGGCCTTCGGGCAGCTGGCGCAGGTGCTGCGTGTGAGCCGCTTCTGCCACAGAGAGCTTCAGAGAGGCTGGGAAAAGAAAAAAACAGTCATAGCAATCACTCAGCAAATCCACCCACCCAGCGCAGATCCTCTGTTCTGTCCTTCCTCTCTCAAGTAAAGAGTTCCTTTGAACTATGCTACTCACTCAGCAGGACAGGGGTTAAGGAAGCCAAAAGTCATGCTCCAGGGAATTTGGGGTTACAGCAAGGAACAGGGAGCCAAGAAACCAGGTCTCCATCCCCCACTCTGCCAGTGACTAACTCTGCGAATCTGAACAAGGCATTGGAGTGCTCTGTGCGTCAGTTTTCCCACCTGTAAAATGGGGCTAATATTTGCTAGTCACTGAGGTGCTTGCTCATGCGTAATTAATGAGTGAATTTTATGGAATGCTTTCGAAAGTGCTTATGTTAATTGTAGAATTACACCACTGACAAGTCTACAAGGTGCTACAGTTATCCTTCAAACGCCAGTGCCAGCTAGGTATGTAAAATCCTGTTTAACAGATTAATCAGTTAAATGTAATATTTAACTTGTTAACCAAGTGGAGCATTCCCCCTTGCCACATGCTGCTCCAACTGGGCTGGAGCACCCTTTGCCCTTTGTGGGCCCAGCGGGGCTGGAGCAGCCCCTGCCCATGACGGGTGGGGAGCTGCTCCAGTCCCCACCAGGAGACTGGAACCGGTAAGCATCACCCAATTAGGGTGACATTTACCGGTTAACCGGCTAACTTTTCACATCCCTAATGCTAAGCCCCTCTGCTAAGCCCTCGACCACATTCCAGAAGACAAACGGCCTTCCCTGCAGACGCAGATTTCACTGTATCACTTTCAATTGTAATATCCAAGATATCCAGGAGTTCTTTAGTCTCCACAACAAAAGATAATATATACGCATCTCTCCTAGCCAATTTGGTACCCTGGCTCTCTGCTCTCAGCTCTTCCTGCTGGCTTATCAGTCACCATACACTGGTCCCTGACAGGCACCAGCAATGCTCGCATGGGTAGTGCCTGGACACTCTCTTGGGGCTTTGGTGCTGTACACATACCACGTGAGCAAAAGTCCTGACCCTGAAGAGCTCACAGCATAAATGAAAAGGGCGGATGAAGAGTGGGACGAGAGAGTGACTCAGCGAAGCTCTCAGTGGAAGCACACAGTAGAGCCAGGAACTGAACCCAGATCTCCTGAGTCTCCCTCCGGCTAGATCCTTGCAAAGCAGAAGCTCCTCCGTTCAGTTCAGCTGTCACCACGAGCCTCTGCTCCCTGAACTGCCCACAATGTGATTTCAGGGAACGCAGCCTGGTGCAGACACAGCCTGCTGTGTGTGGGTGGAGGAGGGCTCCTTCGCCCACAAAGGGGAAGAGGAAAGAGCCTCATGTGTTCTTCTTGTCCGCCTTCAACTGGGGTGTGAGCAGTGCTGGGGATTATGCATGAGGCCTCCTGCCCTGTCAGATCAGCCTCACCTGGCAGCTCCTCACCTTGTGGTTTCTGCCTCACGTTGTGCTCCCCGTGCCCTTTCTCCACGTCTGGCAGCCCCTTTGCCCCTTTCTCATGGGATACGCTGGGCGAGCTCACCGGGCTCACCGCCCCAACACCATCAGGGCTGTAGCGTCCGTGGAACCCTGGGGAAATGCAAGCAAGGGCCTTTAACATCACTCGTTTCCTCCATTCCAATTAACCCGATGTCTCCTGCTGCAGCGAGATCTTCCATCTCAGCTAAGGCCAGAGACCTTGCATCTAGTGGCACCCACTGGGCGGTGTCACAGGGGGCACTGAGGGTACATCTCCACTCCAAGCATAGGCTTCATCTAGCTATCATAGGTAACAAAAGCAATTGGCATGGACTCCAGGGCAAGCTTGCTGCCCAAGAACATCTCCACGGTCCCGAGCAGGCTTATACTTGGGTGGCTACCTGGTGCTGAAGCCTGTAACACTGCAGCTACCATCCTGTTGTTACCCAAGCCAGCCAGACTGACATCTTCATGTGCAGTGGACATAAAGCCCCAGTTGCATCGACCTGTACTTAAATCTTTAGAAGAATCATCTGACAATCAGCAGAGACATATTCAAGTATAGAGAGAAACACAGACAACTACATTTCCCTCTTTTCACAAATTTGCTTTGCAGTTCCAATGGAAAAAAACAACAACCCTTCTCCCTTTTCCTGCAGAGTTGGAAACCCCAACATGACAGCTCAAGGAACAAGAGTCAGGAAGTGAAACTGACCAACCAGGATTCACACTTCCCGTGCCAGGGAAACACAATAAATAAACAAAAGCCACAAACACACTGTGAAAAGCAAATGACTATCAAGGTAGGTGGTATTTTTGCTGGTGGCTCTCAAAAGAAAGCCAGTATCACACTACTGCCAACCTTGACTGGTCAAAAATTAAGAGACGGGTCACCACAAAACAGTGGGATTGGCTTAAAAGCCATGAGATAAAATAAAAATACTAACAACAATGCCTGAGCTTTTTATTGTTTTTCTTTGTGCCTCAGGGGTGTATGCAGGTCACATGTTCAAGCTTTTATCTGCCACCCTAGGGCGAGAAACTTACTTGGTTTTATAAATGAAAGTTGAGATTCTCCAGGAGCTGGGGTGTAAAAGGAAACATCAAACACTGCCAGAACTGTGAACAACCCTGACAGCCAGCAACATGGCATCATCATTATCTCTGCCTTACAGACAGGGCCACTGAGCCGAGGAGAGGTGACGTGACTTCCACTGGAGAGATCGAGGGCAGAGCCAGGAAGAGGACAAAGGTGTCCTGAGTCCCAAATTTTGTGCCCTGCCCACTGGAAACACTGTCTCTCTGGTGAAGAAATCTCATGAGCATAGTATGACTTTGCTCTTGACACACCTTTAGCTTCCTAACTCTGAGTTCCCAGAAGTTATCAATCACATGGTTTCTGCCTGGCTCGGCAAGACCTGTGTGTTTTTCACCAAGGGCTTCCTTGTCACCAGAGCATTCTCTCTGGGAGCTGGGAGCCATATCACCTCCAGCATCTATACTGAACTCATGCCCAGACCAGTGTTCCCTTTATTTTTTTATGTCCGTGTGCAGAATGAATTTTGTTATGTGCACCAATACGGAGATGATGAATCACACATAGAATTCATTATGTGCATGGACGATCTGTGGTGGGGATGGGGCCAGTGTGGGAGAATTCGGCTTCATTTCTGGGGAGCCTGCTCTCCTCTGTCCAGGCAGGGCACTAATGACAAGCTGGGCTCACTCACGGCACCCAGAGGATCTCAACGGACTCAAGTGAACCATAGGCAGAGATGTGGGATGAGTGAGAGACATGCCCTCCCTACACACATATGTGGCCTGTATTAAGGGGCCATTCTGCTCACCTCCTGCTTGACTGGATTGTTAGGTACACCCCTTCTCATGCAGATTCAGTGGTTCCAGTGCTGTTACTTCTTAGGGTGAGTTACCCCTCTGCTGAAGAGCCAACCCCTAGTAGCACTGGGTCTCCACCCCACTGTCAAAGGCTTGTTCATAGTGACAGGACATTATCCCTGAGCCTCTGAGCTCAATCAAGGCTGGAGCCAGTGGTGGGAAGCAGATAGGGGCGGTTGGTGTGCATGCAATACTGCAACTAGGGTTACCAGGCAGCTTCAGAAAAAATACTGGACACACTTGATGGGGGGGGAGGGACTGGCTAGGAGGGAGGTGGGGCTGACAAGGGGAGATCGGGAGAAGGAGAACCGGCTGGCAGAAAGCAGGGCTGGTCGGGCAGGGTCAGGGGGAGCGGGGCTGGCTGGAGTGGGAGTGGGGGGAGAGATTCGGCCGCAGGGTAGCGGGACTGACCTGGGCACATGCAGGTCTCAGGGTGCTACCTGTCCTGTGCACGGTTCTGGCGAAGCATGAGCAAACTGGCTACAGCTCCACAACACGCTTGAACAGCGCTCTGGAGCACGGACAGGGCTTCTCCTCCTCCCCAAGGCGTCACTCCTACGTCAGATGCAACCAGAGGCTCTCAGCGCCGATCGCGCCCTGCCTCCCAGCCATTCCCCCCACTCCTGCCAGGTTTCCATCAGGCGCCCAGCCGGAAAACCAGAAAATACACAGTTGTATATTGCACATGTCTGGTATTTTCTGAATTTTTTTACCAGACTGAATACCGGACACCTGGCAACCCTAATTGCAACACCCACAAATCAAAGTGGCTTGGAGAAAGCTGTTTGTGTGTACATGGTGCCACTGAAGGAGGAAGAGGCATAGATGTGTGAATGGCTAAGCACAGATCAGAGAGCATGGGCTGGAGGGGATCACTAGAAAGGACAACAAAGTAATAAATAGCTAATGCTTGTTTCAAGATCATTTGGGATCCTGTGCCCTTAGCTCGGGCCTATGTATCACAGGAACACAGCCCCTCTTCTTACCTGGGATGGCCAATCAGAGCAGCACAGTACAGCTGTGGCTCCAATAAAAGGGGAAACGCATTGACAGTAGCATCCCTGCTCATGTCTCTAGGCGGGAGCACCTCATCCTTCCTACTGAACTAGCAGGATTTCTAGCCACTGCAAGGTGGAGCATTGCCACTCCCAGCTCTAAGCATGGGCTCAGAAGAAATCCTGCTGCTGCATAAAAATTCCTGATGGAAGGGCTTGTTCAGACTTATCTGAAGAAAAGTGATAGAAATGTAGCCGTGTAAGTCTGGTGTAGCTGAAACAAAATACAGGACTATGCAGCACTTTAAAGACTAACAAGATGGTTTATTAGATGATGAACTTTCATGGGCCAGACCCACTTCCTCCGATCAAATAGTGGAAGAAAATAGTCACAACCATATATACCAAAGGATACAATTAAAAAAAATGAACACATATGAAAAGGACAAATCACATTACAGAACAGAGGGGGGATAAATAAAAAAGCAAATTGAAAGAGCCAAACGAATACCTAGAAACCATCTACTACAAGACAGACCCAAGAAAAGCAACAATAGAACACCACCTGTCATCACCTACATCTCCCAACTTAAACCCGTCCAACACATTATCAATAAATTACAGCCTATACTGGAACAGGACACTAAACTCCAAGAAGCTCTGGGAGACAGACCCATAGTCTCCTATAGACAACCACCTAACCTCAAGATGATTCTTACCAACAACCACAGGACATACCACACTAATACCAACCCTGGTACCTTCCCTTGCAACAAACCCCGTTGCCAGCTTTGTCCACATATTCACTCTGCTGACACCATTACTGGGCCTAACCAAGTGAGTTATAAGATCAAGAACACATATTCCTGTGCATCCAGAAATATAATCTATGCTATCATGTGCCGAAAGTGTCCGTCTGCTATGTACATTGGACAAACATCTCAGACACTTCGCCAAAGGATTAATGCCCACAAAACAGATATCAGACAAGATCACAAAGAAAAAACAGTTTCTTGCCATTTTAACCAGAAAGGACACTCTCTCAATGACTTAACCACCTGCATTCTGCTACAAAGACCTTTTACATCTGCACTTGAAAGGGAATCCTCTGAACTGTCATTCATGTTAAAATTCGACACTCTCCAAAGAGGATTGAACAAACACTTGAACTATCTCACCCATTATCAAGATAGCTTCCCCAATTATCACCTCTAATACCATTAGCTCACAGACATCCCTCCCCCCCGCATCCCCCCTCTGTTCTGAAATGTGATTTGTCCTTTTCATATGTGTTCATTTTTTTTAATTGTATCCTTTGGTATATATGGTTGTGACTATTTTCTTCCACTATTTGATCTGAGGAAGTGGGTCTGGCCCACGAAAGCTCATCATCCAATAAACCATCTTGTTAGTGTTTAAAATGCTACATAGTCCTGTATTTTGTTTTATCTGAAGAAAGGCTTTAATGTGTTTTACTTGTATCAGGCAAAAATGTCCCACTAAAGCCAAAAGGGAGGCTGTATTCATAGCTGGCGGAACATCCTCAGCTTCAGTGCAGCTGGCTGAAAAGGTCCAGTGACAAATATATCTGCTTATCAGTAAGATCTTGAGGAGCCAAAAGGGGAAGATTCAGAGAATGGAGCCAGAAAAAAATTATCCTTTCCAGTCATCCCTGTGGACTGTCTGGTGCATACCATGCACTTAGATTTACATGCACGGGAGTGCAGTGCTAGGATCCAGTGCAGATGTTCAAGAGAGATTCACAGAGATAACACTGTTGCATGCACAGGGGAACTATAGGTGAAATATTACATGGACTGAATTATTATATATATGAACTGAATATTTAAATTGGACCCAGGGATCTGCCGTGGGCCAAAACACAGCTGTACTCATAAGTATCCCGATAGGCACAGGCATGAAAACACACAGACACAGGCACAGGCACATTCATCAGCAGTTTCACCCTGATAAACATATTCTACTTCATTTTGTGTCTTAAGTTGTTGTGCTGGGTTAAGCCACTGCTGTGTTTCATTCCGGAAGTGATTACATTCCATTGGCAGCTACATGATCCCTGCGTAAACAGTGTTCCCTGTTGAGTTGAGCACTGGCTGCTCAGGAGAGATTCAAATACTGCCCACCTGATTAGCAGAGCACTCACAGCTAGGTTGTGTTTCTATTGGTGGTGCACATTCATACATGCCTCAGTGCATTTAAAAATTAATCTTCACATGGATGAAAAAGATTAGAGGGAACTTTGATGTACAGTAGACTGTCTATACTTAAAATCTCATATAGTGTCTGTCACCATGACCTCTAAGCATTGATATATCATTGGACTGGAAAATTGATATACAACTTTGGGATTCATCAAATTCAAAGGCATTGTGCAAATGTAAGACATCTTTCTTCCTTGACACAGCTGTCCTGTTAAAACTACACATTCCCTAGCGCTCCCCCCAGATTGTTTGAGTTATCCATGTATGCCACATGTGAACTGCTCAGTATAGTGACATCAAAAATTTAAAATAAATACCAGGAAATGAACAAGATCTGCAAAGCAAGAACTGGCAAATAATTTTTTTTTTTTACAAGGGGAGGTTAGATTTTTAAAGCAAAATAATATCAATAAAAAAGACTACAATAACAAAAAATGATTCCAAAAAACTCAGGAAGTGGAAGAAGCCAACCACCAAAACGTGCAATTAAAAAAAAATTGGTTTTGAGGCCACAAACTTGGACTAACACCCACCCCTCCAATTTCTTACCAGCACTAGTAGAGTCGTTATTTAGCGAGCGTCTTTCTCGCTTCCCCTTATCGCAAGAAATTTGACGCATGATAATCACATCTATGAAGCTGGCCGCTGTCATGGTGGTCTTACCGAGTGTTCGGAGCTCCTGTTCCTGCATTGAAAAGGATTTACTTTGACTCTTTTCTCTACTGTGCTGCTCATTGGCCGGGGCGGCATGCTGCTGATCCAGGGGTGGATGAAGTGGCTGGTGTTTCCCCTGTCCTCTGCTATACTGCTGGGTAGAACCTGGCCCGGTAGCTGGTAAGGGCCGGGACTCCATGACTTTAACAGGTGTTGATGACTGTTCTAGGCCGGTCCCACTGGGCAGCTTTGAGGTGAATATGTTGTTGTCAGTCTGAGGGCGTTCTACCTTGGCTTCTCGGGCCCTGGAGGCCTCTTTCTGTAGGAGAGCTGGGTCCATCCCTGCATAGCTGTCTGCCCCAGTGATGGAACAGCGCAGGGAGGATGCAGTGGGGAAGCCTGCAGAGCGGATGGTGGGGGGGGGGGGGGGGGGGGGGGGGGGAGAGAGTAGGATCATGCGGCAGAGAGACACTGCAGCTTTCCCACCCCCACTAGAGTGAGGCCCTTTGCACCTGTCAAACCCAGTAGCTCTACAGTATTATTAGCTATGGTGTAGGCTACTTGGAGGTTAATGGCTCCAACCACGCAACTATGCAAACCAGAGACAGGCAAAGGCCACAGTGCGTCTTTCTTTGAAAACACAATAGACAGAGCCTGTCTTTGGTCCCATTTACACCAGTTTGGACATCAGCAGTAACTCCTCATCCGCACTGGCGTATGGGTGTGGAAGACTCTGCCCAAGATGCATTTATCCAGAGTGGTTGCTTCCCCATTTAAAACTTAGGTATTGGCTGCACTGGGGTCAGAAAGCCCAAGTGTAGTGTAACACGATACTGGAGAACAAGAGGAATCAGGAAACTTCTAGCTTCCTGGAGTCCCACCAGCTCTGTGTGCCTTTCCACTGAAATGGACTCCAGGTTCTTTGCTGCACAAGGGGTGGTCAGCTGGAGTGACCAAAATAATGGGGCAAATCCTGGACCCTTACTCCAAAAGGCAGAAGAAAACTTCTCACTGAGGCAAGGCTTGGTGGATGGGCTGAGTCAGACCATCGGGTTTTGGCCCAGAGTCGATAGTCCATGACCTTCCCCCTGGGAAGCAGCTCCCAGCAAAAGCCACTTGGAAAGGAAAAGACCCAGTCAAAACCAGCCAGCCCCTTCATGGCTCCTGTTAAGGGCCGCTCCCATTGAAATCAATGACCAAAAAACGTCCATCCATGTCAACAGTGCAGGGTTAGATCCTTCATAGTCCAGAGCCCTCCACCCCACAGGCCAGGACCCGGGGGAGTGGCAAAGCCCACACCCACCGCAGAACCGACGGGGTGAGGCTCTCCGATGAGATGACCTTCATGCCTGTGTTGTGCAGCACGCTGGGGCGCTGCTGGATGGTTTCATGGGTGCGAGGTGAGGCTGGAGAGTGCTGGTGGCTGTGAGAATGGGTGGTTGAACGGCTGCTGCTTTGCTCAGTCCCTGCAAGAAAACACAGTGAAGAATCTGAGCTGGAAGCCACTATGAAAAACCCAGAGGCAAGGGACAGCAGCAGAGCCACCACTGTGCACTAGATGTATAAACTGGATTCCTCCAAGCCTACCTGGTCTCCAGATGGGTGCGTGCTCCACGGTTGTGGCTGCTAGGAAAGATTTCTCCCGCTCCCGTTCAGAAGCCGATGCTCCTGTCTGTTTGGTCATGTGTGTGGGGCCTCCTGGAATTCAAAGGCAGCCAGTGAGAGAGGGCCCTACAAGCAAGAATCCTTGAACGCTGTAGTTACAGGATCTCAGCACAAGCTTCCTAAACCAGAACCTGGTAGATAAGCAGAGATGGGGGCCTGATCCCACCTCCACCAGGGTACAGCAGGGGTAACCACAGTGCCACATTCTGAGCATGAGTATCTATATTAACTGCGCGTTTCCATCAGTACTCAAAAGGTGTGAGAGATGCGCTTGGCTTCCAAGATGGCGCATTTGAGTGACAAAAGAGATCAGGTGGTTTCTGCATCCTTGCCTACAGGGAGACACAGCCCCCAGTCAGCGATTGCAACCCACTGTGACTGAATGAGCCTACCTGCCTATTGGAGGGGCATTCTAGTACGTAGGCCTTCCGGATGGGAACTGGGGTAAATACTTGCACGATGTGTCTGCACTGGGGCTGGAAGGAGATTGGGCTGGGAGCCATCCATACCTTAGTTCTGATTGCCCTAATGTGCTAAAAACAGAAATCCAGTTGTAGCCCCACTGAGCAATGGGAGGGACTAGTGACCCTAAGTACAATCCCAACCAAGACTCCTGTGTTCACAAAGCCATGGAGACCCTTTTCTACTCAGCGCAACTTGAATTAGCACATGGTCTCCTGGGGCTGGGAATTATTCCCTGCAGCTCAGTGCATGGGTGTATTCAAGAACACCACTTTGCACATGAGCTGGGGAACAAAGACCCTCATCAGCGATGTGCTGATTAGAGTACCAAGTCCCGGGTGGAAGGGGGAGTGCTCCTAAACCGGAGAGAGGGGAACACAGACAGACACACCAGAAGGATCCAAGCTGGCTAGAAGGATGCAAGCAGGGTCTGGTCTGGGTGTGTAACTGAAGAGGAAAGTCTCTCTGGCTTAGCTGGGAGGGCAGCATAGAGTTAGATAGGCACATCAGCTGTTTGTGGCTTTAAAATCCTTCAGAGGGTGGCCGAGTTAATCTGTAACAGTAAAAACTTAAAAAAAACAATGAATAGTCTAATAGCAGACCAATAGTCCTCTTAAAGACTAACAAAACATGTAGATTGTGTCATGAGTTTTGCCCACAAAAGCTCATGATCCCATCTGCATGTTTTGTTGATCTTTAAGGTGCTACTAGACTATTTGTTGTTTTTTAAGTTTTTTAAATCCTTATTTCTCTAGGGATTTGCTCCCATTGGCTAAAGCAAACACTTCAACTTAACGCTGCTGGTCACAGTACTGCTGGTCACGGGAGTGCCAGGGGAGGAAATGTGGGCGTCCAACAGGCAGCCAAGCCTGCAGAACTAAGCGACTGGTACACGCAGCTCCACAGAAGGATCACACAATTCCCTTTGAGATGGGGAGCCAAGAGGGCCAAGACTGTAGGCAGGTCTCTCTTACAGCACCCAGAGGGGACAAAGATATAGCTAGCCTGAGAACCCATAACCACCACTGCCCCATGGAATCACTGGAGTTCTGCCACTGAAAAACTCTAGTCCTCACGGTCCTTCCTCTTTCTCGTCTTCACAGTGAAGTTTTGTTAGTGCTTTGTTTGTACACTCTCTGGGGGAGGGAGAAATGTCTTGCTCGGCTGCAAGCTTGCAGCAGGTGCTGAATAAACAACGCAGAGAGATGATAGCCCCAAACTACGAGAGCAGTTCAAGTTCTAGCAATGTTTCAAGCCAATTATTATGGGCTGCACCCGCTGACAAGAACAGTCCTTCCAGCCTCAGAGCCCTCCGTGAAAGAAACAGCCCTATTGATTAGCCCCCAGCTGGCCCCAACCAGTGTTCCCTCTAAACTGTGGGGCAGCACAACTTCACAGGTGATTAATCAGTCCCGCCTAGTCAGTGAGCTTCATGCAAGGAGCCCTGAGCCTCTGCCAGGCCGGGGATGATTAATCCCCTGTGAAGCTGTGCTGCTCTGCAGCTTAGAGGGAACACAAGTCCCAACCCCAACTTGGGTTAAGCCCAGGCAAGAGGGGCTGGTAGGCAGGAATCAGACACGAGTGGTAGGAGCAAGATGCAAGGGGTAGGAGCAAGATACCTGGTTCTGGACTGACCTTGGACACATTATGTATCTCTGTGCCCAGTTTACCCATCCAAAATACAGGAATAATGCCTGCTCCCTTCCCCTGCTAGTTTAATTTGTGCATCTCAAGCACTTGGAGATCCTGGGATGGGCAGTGCTGTCAGTGTGGAAAGAGACATGGGGACTAAGAGTCACAGGGGGTAGACATGTTAGTCTATAACTTAAAAAAGCTAAAAAACAAGTGTTCCTATAACATCTTAGTCTAGCCAAAGTATGTTAAATAGATAGTATCACAAACTTTCATGGGCACAACACACTCCTTCAGATGGGTGAAGCAAGAGGAGGTCAGGTTGTAGAATAAACCACCACCCTGGGCTCACCACTCTGAAATCCTGAAGCAAGGGGACTCCCTGGGAACCCTCACACATGCACACACACAGGATGGGGTTTGATTTGCCCATGTGCCCGTCCATGCAGATTATCTGGTGGCAAACCAAGCCCCTCAGGCTTTACCTGGGGAGAGCGGGGAGCTACTGTGTCAGCTGCTCAATATCTGTGGGGCGCGGGGGGTGGATGTGGGTTTGGGTGCCAGGTGTGGGAGGCACAAGGACAGGCAGGTGTGGCACTTGGGACAGGTCGATGATCCCTGGAGAGAGAATCAAAAGGACTGTCAAGAGGACAATAAAATCCAAGATGGTGTAGAGAGCGATGCTTGTGGGAAAGCCCAGGGAATCAGGACGGTCATACAGAAACATTCCCCTGGCAATTGGTATGGGGATGCTAGCAAGGGAACAAGGATAGCTTAACGCTAGTGGCACAGTTTCAAAGCTATTGCCAGCTCCGGGCTGTGAACCTCACTGGAGATGGATTATTAAGGAGGAATCATTGAAAAATTAAGAGTCTATTTCTGACCACTGATAATTTTGGGGGCTCTCATCATTTATTATTTCTACCTAGGAGCCCCACTCCCCACCCAGCAGGGGCCCCACAGTGCTAGGTACTGGACAGCACAGACCACATTGATTGTCCCTGCTCCAGGCTGTTTACAATTAAAAGGTGAAATCCACCCAAGTGCAGAGACCCTGCTGAAAGCCCGAGCATCACATAACTTCCAGTTCGGTGCCGGCTCTCACGGCGGGAATTCCACCCATGGTTTACTCAGCGTGGACACTGAAAGGGGATGAATTGGGGTTGCTTTCTTGTGAACGGCTGGTTCTGAACTGGGGGTTCTAACTTTGCAGGATGGGACACTCCACCCACCCCCTACAGAGCAGTCGGCAAAAAGGAAACAAGGAGGATTGTAGAGTTCTGGAGCTCGTTTCCTTGGGAGGATGTGGAATCCCTGGCACTGAGGTTTTTAAGAAGTTGGACAAACCCCTGTCAGGGCTGGCTGCAGTGCAAGGAACTGGACTAGGTGGCCACTCAAGAGTCTTTTGCATTTCTATGATTGTAGGTGCACCCCCTCCTCTTCATGCTGGGGTAAGAGAAAGGGTGTGGGGGGAAGGGACAGAACCTGAACTGAGAATTCTCTCACATGGGGCGCACATGAGTGGTGGCCTTAGCTCAGATTGGTTTGGTCAGCTGGTGAGGACGGCACAAGCTACATACACATTTCTGTGTTGTTCCCTCTCTTTACTCAGCAGGGAGCTGCTGCTATGACTGAGGGAGAAGGGCCCCTCCCTCTGCTAGGCAGCTCTGTGTGCAGAGCCCCAAGCCAGGTCTCATTAAACAGATGTGGAGCCACCCTGCCACACCCATTAGAGAGAACCTTGAAGGGGACCCCCAGATTCCCCGTCTATGGGATTTTAGCATGGGGCGGGGCACAAACAGTATTATAAATAGATTCAACCACTCAGCACCATCAGATGAGAAAGGCCCCATGTCTTTTCTGAGAGCTGCTTCTCACCACATCTCATTGTTTGATCCCCAAAGCCACACACAGGCTACGTCTACACTGGCCCCTCTTCCGGAAGGGGCATGTAAATTTCACTAGTCGTCGTAGGGAAATCCGCGGGGGATTTAAATATCCCCCGTGGCATTTAAATAAAAATGTCCG